TCGAGGTCTCAAGGCCCTATGCGCCCTCTCGAATTCTATCTCTGGTGGTGGGGATGGTTGCAGTAGAGAGCGGAATAGTTCCGTTAGTATTTCCTCAGCGTTTTCTGTCCCTTCGGTTTCTGGCACACCACGAACCCGAATGTTGCACCTCCTGCCTCTGTTGTCTACATCTACAAGATGTCGGCGCATGGAGCGCAACATCTCACCCTGGCATGCTACAGCTGTATCAGTGGCTGCCACGCAGACCGCGAGGGCCGCATTTGCCTCCTCTGTCGCGGTAATGCGGCCTGCTTGCTCGGTGAGCTCCGTGCGGATCTGTCCGCAGTGTATCCTGGATGGTGGTTGTTATAGCCTGTAGGTCGGCTTTTGTCACCATTGAGGCTGTCAGGTCCCGCAGGGTGCCCTCAATCTGGTCTAGGGACGGCATCCCCTGTCCCGGAGTGGATGACGCCGCCATCTTGGGGCTTACAGAGTCTCCACTCGCCCCGGGCTGCGGCTGCAGGTATCCGTCCAGCGGGCCCTGGGAGGTGTTCCTTGGGGTCTGGGTCTGCTCTGGGCGTTTAGTGCGCCCCATTAAGCTTAAGTTGCTCGCTGTTATCGCTGTGTTGGGGTCCGGCGGAACGGAGCTCACTCTTTACGCGGCCATCTTGGTCAGAGCCGGAACCACGCCCGACTGAAGGGGTTTTCACCCCTTCAGCAACCGGGGATGGGAGGTGGGAGGGAGAGGGGACCTGCAGTGCAATACATATGCATATTAATGCATATATTTATAGCTCTGTATGTCTAGGGGAATATTCACTAAGCATTGCATAGGTAAAATAATTAATTCTCCATCAGAGTTGAAGCAGTATTGAGCCAGGTTATTTAGGATGGAGAAGAGCACCCCATAGCCTACCAAAGCCAAAATTGCTAGACTGAGAAGTAGGGTATGCAGCTATTGAAAAGGAGTGCCTGGCTTTGGTGTGGGCTCTTAAAAGATTCCAACCCTACCTCTACAGAAGGGAATTCACAGTCCTCACCGACCACAACCCCCTAGTTTGGCTGAATCGAGTAGCAGGGGATAACGGACGCCTAATACAGCCCTTCAACCTTTTAATTTTACCATTCAATATAGGCCTGGCAAAGACAACCGCAATGCTGATGGATTGTCCCAGCAAGGAGATGTATAAGCCCCCTGCTACAGTCGTCCACGGGGTTACCCATTAGAGCAACCCCTGGCCGCCCTCTCCAAAAATGGGGGAGGTATGTCACGGGAGATGGGACTCCTCCTACATGTTTCCTTAATTATACTTTGTCTCGTAATCACTGACCACCCCTGGCTGTTAACCATAAAACAAGCATTCCCTGGGTGGCCACCATTCGTATATCCGAACACACGTGTGCAAACAAATGGTGTGTAACTGTTTTCGGCTAGGCAACTTTGCAAACTCTGCTGAAACTTGTACCACTGCCCATTCAACTCCCCGACCAGCTAGGAGAACACCATTCGGGAGTAAGAAACTACTGAACGAGGGAAGCATTAATTTCCTAATAGCCAAGGGATGTGTTCGTCAGTTTGTTCCTATGGAACTCCCGAAAGTGACCGGCCAGCCTGACCAATTCTCTGGAGCTGTTTTGGGCTACCACCTCATGGCCAGTCAGGCAAAACTTGCACAAACATAACTTTCATTTTACCAAATCAATCTGAGCGCTTTTTGGATGTGTTGTGCGCTCAGATCAGGGCTATTCTGGAATATAATTTTTGTGGGGTTCCGATGCTGTTGTCATGTATTTTTTTGATATGTAAAAATTGTATGCATGTTTTCCTATTTAAGAGATAATTGGATTAGCTTAATTGGAGCTCAATTATATCTCAAACACAATGGCTTGTGGGAAGAAAACCCCTGTGATTTTGTATTGGAAACCCCATGCTTAGGGCACTGCATAAGAGTGTGGCCTAATAAAGTTCAGATTGCTGCTTTTACCCAATACGACTGGTTGCGTCCATTATATTGGGAAAACTCTACACAAAGGGAATACTTTCACTATATTCAGCACATTGGAATTAGGACTAGTGAAGGATTGAAGGAAGAACAGCAATAGACTCACGGACCTGTGACAGTGTTACTATAATGTAGAGGGTACATGGGCTACACATTTTATAGACGTCTTGTGAATTCATCCATTTTTTTTTTACTATTGTCCCCAGCTCTTTCACTGTGTGTAACCAAACCATTTGTGCTGTTTGCCTTGATAAGAGTAACAACTAGATAACATTGCTAATTCTTGTTTTTTGTTTTTTTTACTTTCTACAGGGTCTTGTTGTGGAATATCTCGATGAACTCTTGGAAGGGAATGCATTCTGACCAAAAATATAATAACAGAATTTTTGTTTCATTGTTTTCATTTGCTCATTTGTCTTCCATTCAAAAGGAAAACACAAGAATTATTACATCTGAACAACCCATTTTTGCCGTTACACTCAAACGCGCATCCAATGCACTGATTTCATATATTGGTATGAGAGGAAACAGGTTAATATATTGATATATGGGTTTGGATTTCCCCTGCTTTTTAATCAGTATTTATTATCCATGTATGTGTGTGCAAAACATGGAAATAAATTACTGTGAAACACAATTGTCTCATCTGAGGAAATGTTTTTACTAGTTTCTTGAATATGTGTGTTACTGAATATATTTTCTGTACCAACACAAGTTTTTTCCCTACTTTTGTAATTCTGTATTTCCTGACGGATTAAGATCCAGACACAAGTTTAACATCTTCACCTCAAGGATATGTTTATGATTTAGATTACCTGCCAGAGACAGAGAACTATAGTTGACCATCTTCAGTACATTTTATCTGTCTGCATCTACTGTACTGTATCAAATCATACACACAACTTTATTCAACAGGGATATTAGCATTCCAAAAGAAGACGTGAAGGCTTTCCTTGATATGTGTCCATTTGCTTGCAATGACTGTTTTCCAAAATCTATTCTTTGTGTCTAAATGTAAAGATCTGGGGAGAGACAGTGGAATGATATACTATTTTTGAACACCCCCATCAACTTACAGCCTATACCCTGGTACCCTGGAAGAGATCTGTTTCATGGTCCACTTGAATTGTTATTTTAGCCCATTTATACCCAGCCAACTTTCCGAAATGCTTTAGAAGGTGCAGAGCGAATGACACATACCTACACTCCTGTTTCTCGTGTGTTGTGATCAGACCTATATAGGAGACGACCTTTGCAATTTTAAGCAGCTGACTCTGAACCCTTGGACATCTCTGGTCAGTCAAGGCAACCAACCATTAAAATTGAATGGACATGACTATATTGTTTTACTTCAATAAAAAGACAGCTCCTCAGGCAGATAAATCTACATCTTGTTTTTCTAGTAAATGCTTTTCTCTGCTGAAGTGCAATCTCATTTCATCTGTAGATGACTTGTGATTTGTACACGCTTGTTAATGATCAGGTCACTGGAGAGTTGTTTGTACTTTCCCTGTACTAATTTATGTTATGAATGTCTACATCTTCAATGAGATGTTTTTTTAGAACTTAAGAAGTTCTTACATTCCCCTTATTAAAGGGACACTATAGTCACCAGAACAACTACAGCTTATTGTAGTTGTTCTGGTGTCTATAGCCTGTCCCTGCAGGTTTTTTTTTCTGTAAAAACTTCAAAGAAAAGGCAGTGTTTAAATTAAATCTTAGGGACACCTTCAGTGGCCACTCCTCAGATGACCACTAAAGGCTCTGTATGGTGACACTGAACCTTCCCCATAGAGATGCATTGATCTATCTGGCTAGTGTTTGGCCCTGTCCACCCTCATTAAAGATCCCTATGGGAAAGCATTGGATTGGCTGAGATCATAAATTCTGATGATGTCAGCCAAAGAGGCTGATCTGGAGTAGGGTTAGTGCCTGCAGACTCTTGTGGCACTGGAAATAATGTGAATTTTAACCCTTTGTAATCAGGAAGTGGGGTGCTACCTAAATGGTGGTTTTAACACTAGAGGGTCATGAATACATGTTTGTGTTCCTGACCCTATATCGTTCCTTTAATATTAACCAGAAACTCTTTCCACTTCCATAATATTCTTTAAAACCACTAACCATATATAAAGTTGGATCTTACCATTTATCTGTATACAGGTAAAATTGTATTTTCATCTCACAAATAAATACCTCTTTTATACATTGCAGTACCGTATAGGCCTTGGCAGCTGCCGACTAACATTTTTGCTAGTCTGTTGACTGTAATTATACCGAGTCCTTCTCATTTACCATTATCCCTATTTCAACACCATTTAGAGTATATACTTCATGTTTATTTCTCTTATATTGAATCTCATCTGCCATTGTCTGTGCAGTCTACTAATTATTCACAAAAACTAAATGTAACATTCTGCTGAGTGGCCAGTTTTCCTAATTTTGACAGTGACAATGGGGAGGGGAGGCAGTGACAGTGTGTGAGGGTGAGAGTAGGATGGGGGCAGTGACAGTGTAGTGACAATCTGGGATGGTGACAGTGTGCAGGGGGCCAGTGACAATGGAGAGGGGGGGCAGTGAAAGTGGAAGGGGAGCAGTGACAGTGTGGGAAGGAGACAATAACATTATGGGAAGGTGACAGTGGGAAGGAGGCAGTGACAGTGGGGAGGAGGGCAGTGACACTGTGGGAGGGTGACAGTGGGGAGGAGGCCAGTGACAGTGTGGGAGGGAGACAGTGGCGAGGGGAGTAGTGAGAGTGTGGGTAGGTGATAGTGGTGAGGGGGGCAGTGCAGTGTGAGAGGTTGACAGTGGGGAGGAGGACAGTAAAAGTGTGCCAGTGGCAGTGTGTCAGAGAGTCAGTGACAGTTGGTGAGAGGCCAATGACAGTGTGGGGGCCAGTCACAGTGGGGAGGGGCAGTGACAGTGCAGAGGGTGCCCCAAAAGGAGAGTTCTTACCTTTCTGGGATCCCACCATGTGTGCACAGCTCCTGTTGTCATGTTGCTCTGTGGTGCCCTCCCACACGATGCACTCAGTCACAGCCTCTCTCTGCTCTGCACTCGAATAATGAAGCAAGACGGGCAGCGCTTGGTCGTCTATCAAACTGCCCTGGCGAGACTGGCCGCGAGAGCTGTGAGGTTCAGCTTTTTATTGAATTGTGGTAGAATATAAACAGTGATTGAAAGAGTGACACTCTGATTGCTTTGACATCGCTTAAAACTCAACAGCGACCTTAACTGTGTCAATAATTAACGACAGATTGTAATTCACCCTGTATGACAGATTTTTAATTTGTATTTATTTGTTCATTCTTTGAAGAAATGTGTATCATGGGGTTGGCTAAATGATGATAGGCGAGATTATTTTGTAAATATTGTGATGCTATACTTTCAACACTGCTTATACTGACAGGATGGAGAAGCAGAGTAAGGCTTCTCCATTCTGTTACTCCATTCCAGAGAAAGTATGAAATAAACAAATCCAGGGCACACCAGTCTCAGGGGCAATGCACCCTGGTTCGGCCCTGCGGATGTCAGTTCTGCCATTACAGACATTTTTTCGGGTAACACAGAGGGAGCTAAATTGTACCCTGGGGGTACGTGTACCATAGGTTGGGAACAACTGCTTTAGGGAGAAAGCTTAGCCAAGCAGGGCAAATTACAGAAGAGAGCAAGGAGGAGTAACACCCATGAAGATGAGGAAATGGCAGCCCTGGAGCAGAAGTGAGGTTAGTATTATCAAGCATTTACACTGAATACATCATGTATCCTTGTGATATGATAGATGTGGGGGCCATTTAGGAAAACTTAGTATATATAGTTTCCCAAAATTGTACTTTATTATATTGAAAAGCACACACAAAAAATGATTACAATATTACTTGTTAGATGTTCTTAAAAACAAGAACATTTTACAAATGAATGCCTCGATTTAATTATTTTATTTAAAAGCAGTTGAAACCATCTGAAATTGAAGAAGATAAATCCAATAAACTGGTCGGATGTTTGAACTAAAACTTCAGAAAAATGTACTTTGTAGCCACATTTATCTGCCTTTTTAAATGACTATCCCTGTTGATCATTAAAAAAGAAATTGCTAGACATTAATATGTCTGTGATGTAACCCTTGTTAATACTATGCACATCAAATAAAAGAATTACAAAAAAAAAAAATAAACTCATTAGGTCACCTTTGCACCATCTTGGTTGAGTACGTGTGCAATTTTGGATTGAAGTGTTTAGTTCTAAGTTTATAAGCTAGAAGTTTGCCTTGTTGCCTTGCATGTAATAGGTCTGCAGTAGTTTATGTTGATAACATTAAAGCTAGTGTAGTTGAAGTTTTTGTAGTGGCCTTGTAGAGACTATTTCATGAATTTGTTTTGGTTGGGGGTTCGCTTTATTCATGTCTTTTAGTTCAGTGATGCATTGATGCATAGCCTGCAGAAACTGGGTAGGTTTTTTTTAATTCTAGATAGAGGGGTTGGTGTTTTTTTTTTTATTATTCTTGATAGAGCACTGCTGAATGATTTCCCTTCTTAGCACAGCTTCGTGAGCCAACCAAATTGTATCGTAATTTAAAAATTGAAAAAGTATTAGACTGGAAATATTATGTCAGGGTGGAGTGCAGTGAATTTAGATATGCTGAACTTCAAGGCTAGTGTCATTTTCTAAAGGTCACCAGAACAATATAGTTGCCAGAACAACTACAGCTTAATGCACCAGTACTGGTGTGTATAGTATGTTCCTGAATAGTAATGTCCCGAACGGTTCGCCGCGGACTCATCATTGAGTAAACTTTGACCCTGTACCTCACAGTCAGCAGACACATTCCAGCCAATCAGCAGCAGACCCTCCCTCCCAGACCCTCCCACCTCCTGGACAGCTCACTAAGAATGCAGCTTCACAATGAATGTAAAATGGATTCTGTCCAGGAGGTGGAAGGGTCTGGGAGGGAGGGTCTGCTGCTGATTGGCTGGAATGTATCTGCTGACTGTGAGGTAGGGTCAAAGTTTACTCAATGATGAGTCCGCGGCGAACCGTTCCTCGGCGAACCGTTCGGGACATCACTATTCCTGAAGGCTTTTTAATCTAAACACTGCCTTTTCTAAAAAAAAGTGTATCACTGTCGTTCAGCGTTTCTACACTCTGCAAGGAGGCGCTGAATGTTTCTCATAGAGATGCATTGATTCAATGCATTTCTACAGTATATGGACTATGGATCAGGGGTAGCTATGAACATAAATGTGTGTATGGGGAGGCAGTGTGTGTGTATGGGGGGGCAGTATGTGTATGGGGGGGCATTATGTGTGTGTGTATGGGGGCAGTGTGTGTGTGTGTATGGAGGCAGAGAATGTGTGTGTGTGTGGGGGGTGAGAATGTGTGTGTGTGTGTGTGTATGGAGGGCAGTATGTGTGTGTGTGTGTGTATGGGGGGCAGTGTGTGTGTGTATGGGGGGGCAGTATGTGTGTGTGTGTATGGGGATAGTGTATGTGTGTAGAGTGTATGTGTATGGGGGGGGCAGAGTGTGTGTATGGGGGCAGTGTGTGTTTATGGGGGGCAGTGTGTGGGGCAATGTGTGTGTATGGGGGCAGTGTGTGTGTATGAGGGCAGATGTGTGTGTGTGTGTGTGGGGGGCAGTGGGTGGCATGTGGGGGCAGAATGTGTGTGTGTGTGTGTGTGTATGGGGGCAGTATGTCTGTATGGGGCAGTGTGTGTGTATGGGGCAGTATGTGTGTATGGGGTAGTATGTGTGTATGGGGCAGTATGTGTGTGGGGGAGGCAGGATGTGTGTATGGGGCAGTATGTGTGTATGGGGGGCAGGATGTGTGTATGGGGGCAGTATGTCTGTATGGGGCAGTATGTGTGTATGCAGGGGGCAGTGTGTGTGTATGAGGGGCAGTGTGTGTGTGTGTGTGTATGGGGAGACAGTATGTGTGTGTGTGTATGGGAAGCAGTATGTGTGTGTGTCTATGGGGGCAGTATGTGTGTGTGTATGGGGGACGGTGTGTGAGATGTATGGGGAACGGTGTGTGTGTGTGTATGGAGACAGTATGTGTGTGTGTGTGTGTATGGAGACGGTGTGTGTGTGTGTGGGAGGCAGTATGTGTGTGTGTATGGAGACGGTGTGTGTGTGTGTGTGGGACGGTATGTGTGTGTGTGCGTGTGTATGGGGGCAGTGTGTGTGTGTGTGTGTGTGGGGGGACGGTGTTGGCATGTGTGTGTATGGAGTTGGTATGTTGTGTGTATGGGGGGCAATATGTGTGTGTGTATGGGAAGTATGTGTGTGTATGGGGGGGCAGTACGTGTGTATGGGGGGCAGTATGTGTGTGTGTGTATGGGGGTGTATGTGTATAGAGTGTGTGATAAGGGTAGGGGGGGCTTTTTTTGTTTTTATAATATATGTATTTATTTTTTATTTAATTAAAATAAATATTCTATGTCCCCCCTCCCTTCTTACCTTTATTGAGGAGGAGGGGGGACATATTTCGATCCCTGGTGGTCCGGTGGGGATTCCCTGGTGGTCCCAGTGGGGACAGTGAACTCTAGCCCGCGCTCCCAGGCTAGAGTTCACTCTTGCGAGATTTGGAGTGTTGCCGTGGTAACCGCGACAACGCTCCAAATCTCGCTAGAGGAGGACCCGGAGGAGCTGCAGGCTGAGCTCCCGGGTCCTCTCTCCTCCCTCTCCCTCCCCTGCCGGCTGTCAGCAATGTGCCTGCGGACCGGGGAGGGAGAGCTCTGATCTCTGATCTCCCTCCCTGGTCCGCAGGCACATTGCAGGGCTAGCACCTGCATGTGCTGGCAGGGGAGAGGGAGACCGGCGGATTTCTCGGGGGGGGGGGCAATTGCCCCGTTGCCCCCCCTCCTGGATCCGCCACTGCTCCAGAGCCTGGCATTTTTTAGGTCTCATAATCTCCAGATCAACTTAGAACCCCACTACTGACTCACAGAGCCTGCTTACTGGAGTTTGCTTGAAAGTAGGCTATTTAACCCCTTAAGGACCAAACTTCTGGAATAAAAGGGAATCATGACATGTCACATGTCATGTGTCACTAAGGGGTTAAAAAGTGGTCTCTCTTTTATTGGAGTTAAAACAACAGGAGTTTTGTTGGTGGGCTGTGGTTGGTATTGTGGTTAATACACCAGGTGGGAAAAAAGCAATTTTTTTTTTTTTTTTTTTTTTTTTTTTTTTTTACTTTTACACTTTTTAACCCCTTAAGGACCAAACTTCTGGAATAAAAGGGAATCGTGACATGTCACACATGTCATGTGTCCTTAAGGGGTTAATGTATTTTTCTCCTTGCTATTTTGATTTATTTTAATTTTTCGTAACTTTTTTCCCATATATATATACACAAAAAGATATGGAAGGGCTGCGCCAAATAAGGGTAGATAGTCCAGTAAAGTATTGCTAGGGTGCCAATAGATGGTCTAGGATACTTGATAGTGGATGCGTCTAGTGTAGACCGTTCCGTATATGTAAATACAAGAGAGGTAGAGGCGACTAATGGTATAGTATGAAAGTTCAGGGTGTGATAGGTAACAAAAAGTAAAGAACTCACATTCAAGAGAGCTATGGCCAGCTCTGGTGTGGATTGCGTACAGCGGTATAATCCCTGCTTATGGAATATGTAGGGAGGGAGTCTCCGTCAACACCGTCTGGTAGTCCAGAACTCGGAAAAGAAAGACAGAAAGCAACAATAGTGCTCTCAATTTTGATGTGGTTCAATGTGCAGATAAGAAGAGGTAAAAAACTCACATTTGAGGGATCTATGGCCAGCTCTGGTGTGGATAGCGTACAGCGGTATAATCCCCGCTTATAGGATATGTAGCGGCGATACGTCCGTCAGCACCGTCTGGTGATCCAAGACTCCAATATAGAAGAATAAAAAGCAGCAATAGTGCTCTCAATTGTGATAGGTTAAGAGAGTAGTAAAGAAAATAAAATAATACTCACAAAGATAGAGCAGAGGTACTGCTCTATGGATAGGCACCGGTGGTATGATCCCCACCTAGGATTTCTTGGAGTACTGGAACTTTAAAATTGCCAGTGGAAGTAAAAGTAACCAGGAAAGGTTAAAATGCCAGGAATAGGTAAAAAAAAAGTTGTTTAAAGTGCATAAAGAGTGCAATAAAAAGAGGATTGGTACAATAAAGTAGCCAAAAAACTTTTATTGATCTAAAATACACAGTAAAATACAGAATTAATAACCATAAACGCGTTTCACCATAAGTGGCTTCTTCAGAATGGGATAAAAGTAGTAACCTGGCAGGGGTTGTTTAAATAGGGCTATGTTAATTTGAAAATTGCGCCAAAAGTGTAATTGGCCAATCAGAGACAATTTTTAAAATCACTTTTCAAAATTAGGATTCAAGAGTATGGGAGTGATGTTATAAAGGTGTTGAGTCCATTTAAATTATTTAAATGTGAAAACGAGGGTGAGAAAGTTGTTTTTTAAAGAGAAATTTAAAAAAAGTTGTTTGATTAAAGTTCAAAAAAAAAAAAGGTGTTTGATTAAAGTTCATAAAAAAAACAAAACATATGTAGATGGTTTAAAGGTACAGAGATATATGTAAATGGAGTATGCATGAAAAGGGGGTAATATAATCCCAAACATAATAGTTTGGATAGATGTATAATCGATTATGAGTTTGACACATGATTAAGGATACATCCCTATGGATGTCCAAATATGAATATTACCACAATCATATACACATATTGCTAATGACATTATTGTCTATTTTTATAACACCTTGCTTAAGGTTTTTTCACAGTATGCTAATTACTAGCTCAGTATGTCATTGGTGGGTTAGTTATAATTTTTATAGAACATGGGATTGTTGTTTGGATCTTAAACATTGGTGTTGTCACTATTGTATTCACATAGAGGTGGATAGTACCATTAACCGTTGGTTTTTATGATAGGATTTAGGGGTTTGTTTTGTATATGTGGCCTTTTCTTCCCCTCTCTCTAGATTCTAGTATATACACAGGTTACAGCTTTAATCCCTTCCTTGGTGGAGGATAGATGTAGAGACCGGAATATCCAAGCTAGATACGCATGCGTCCGGTATCACTATGACTACGGACGACGCAGCCATTCAGGAAGTAACTGAGGAGATCGTTGTTAGACGCAATGGCGTCCTGATCTCCA